ACATAACCTAGCATTATTTCATCTCTAGGCTTAACCGCCTCCAGCTCATCACGCTAGGTTACGACAATATCAAAAGCGCTTGGCTTTCACTGGGCAACTCTTCGATATTAGCGTAAATGAGTAAAAATTACAGTATTAGCCAAAACAAATAGTACTGAACTGAAATGGTTAATTGTTCATTTTTAGTACTGTTTATTTTGGCCAATACTGTATATGGGTTTTTTTTTTTTTGTAAGTTGTATTAGCAAAACTTAAGTTTTGCGGTGTTTGTATAAGCATCTATGGAGCAAATCTTTAGCAAACTTAAGTGTCAGGGTCGCTGCACCTAGTTTCAGAATATCTTTTATCTTTACAAAATTGGAATATTGATAAGCTGAGTAGTTAATGTAATAATCAAAGCTCGCCGTTTCGATCCTGATAAGTCAGTAGCTTTTTGATGGTTCGAAACTATACCCAGCTGTTCCTGAACATTGGAATTTTAAAATGATCCTGGCTAATGAAACAGCTGATCTTAAACAGTAAAGCTACAAAGATCATCTAACTACAATCTACACTCATATCCAGGTTCAAATAAGCACCTAGGTGGCGTCCCCACATAAAAGATTAATAATTAATTTATTGTAATTGGGGTTCTCATGATTCTGACTAATGAAACAGCTGATCTTAGTCAGTAACAAAGCTACACAGCACATTTCACGCCCTTCTATACTCATCCTTTACTTAATATTCGGGCTAAAGTACACACCTAAGGAGCGTCCTCATCTCAATTGATGATGATAGCAAAAATAGTAAACACTTGTTATAAAATATCAAACTTACGTTGGCATTGTAGGGGTGTGCACTATGATTTAGGATTTTTACCATTCTGTTGTATTCGTGTCAACATAATGTGAGCTTTTGGAAAAGTCATAAATCGCAATACCGCACGTTGTGGCACAAGCATAAAACCCACCCTCCCCCTCCCCCTCCCACTCTCCCAATCACGCGATGTTTAATTACCAAAAATTGCCTCCCTTGCCCAGGTCCATTCAGCCGCTCACGCTGTTGAACCGAGAAACTCGAAATGAAGCAGAAAAAGGAGCTCGGCTCTGGTGGGGGTTTTAATTTGTTTAGAGCATTGAGAGCTGTGCCTGCCCCATCCCCGACTCGCTCGCGGGGCTTAACGAATAAAGCGGGCCCGCTCTCGGGGACCTGCACTTTATGTAAATTTCAAAGAATTTCACTGAATAATGTGTGATTGCGTTTTTTGTCGGTGGCTTAATCGCATTTGTGAGGTTAACGGGTCAGAAACCGTCTGTGGTTAGTTTGATTTTGAGAGTGGGGGGATTGAAAAAATGTTAGAATTACTACTTTTTTTAAATAGTTATCTATAGTGTTTAAGCTTAAGTTTATTGAAACCATTGGGTAATTTGTATAGCTTTTTATAACTATTGAGAGTCAAAAGTGTTCTATACTCATAGAATGTAGGATAAAAGTCGTATTACATAATAATTATTATTAAAATTTCGTTAATTGTAACAAATTACTTTAAAATTACCCATGTTGTAATTTTTTATAAAAGAAAACTTTCAATTCTGATTTTGAGCGATTCGCAGTTCATTTCTCCTTCAATTTGTGTTTACATAAAAAATGTTAAACTACAATATGACCCTAAAACTAATTTTACTTTTTTCAGTGTCAGTAACGACACAACACCAATTCATACGCTACGCTACACCCTCACTACGCCCACACTAGATAACGCGCACATGCGATACGCACCCACACGTCGAGCCATACACACACACATACGCTCACATTAGTCACTCAGCTATGTCTATACTTTGTACGATGGGATCTGTCTCACATCCCTCCACCTACTTGGGTGATGCAGTGGTTTAAAGCCCGGGCCAGCCTCAGGTAGACCTGCTCACGATATAAGATACATCATACATACTATAGACCTACTACAAAATATCGCCCCAAACCACTGATTGGCAAATTTGTGTGTGCCGTATTCAGATGAGATGTTCAACCTTCGATTATTGGGTATTGTTATAGATACTTTAAACCAGTGTTGAAGATACAAACTTTGTAAGGAATACATATCCATTAAGTACTTTAGTTAACCATCAATACATTACTATAAATACTTGTTTCCTGATATCTTGCAAATATTAAGATTCCAGATCCATCACTGATTCCAGAAGGAATCCAGATTCATATTTGAAAGGAAAGGACACTTTTACGAAACAACCAGTTTTACGACGTCAGAAGGTCAACTGGCGAAATCTCCAGACTCATCTAAACCCTTATAACTATTTCCCCGATCATAACCCGGTATCGAACCGTCGCCCCCGAGACACATTCGAGATTTCCATCTGGCCGTAAATAATAAAAGCGCTGTCATAGACACACATAAAGAGGCCGCGCGGATCACCGGTATAAAAGAACGGTATCATCATTAAATCCACCATTATATTAATCTCGCCATAAAAGCGGAATAACGTAGCGCCGTACGATAGGTAACAAAGGCATAAGGCTCTCCCGACGTAAAGCCGGGTATAAAGCGTCCTTAACGTTCCTGCCTCAACCCCAACACCCTGCCCGCCCACCCAGGGATGGTATTTACATTTTAAAATAGTTTGCAAGCAGGTCCGTTCCGCCGTTCGCAAGGGTTTCGAAATATGCCGCTACCCCTTCCCCCAGTCGTACGTATTAACGCACTCTGTTACCAGTGGCGCTTTTACATAAATCAATGCCCGCTACACGTTGAGTGTCGGGTTGTGTTGCGGTGGCGAGCTTCTATTAGTTGCATCGGAAACCACTCGTGTGGATTCAGCACGAATTTAGTTTAATTTACGAAATGTTTTGTTGTTGAAAACCGTCTTAAACCATCCTTGGGTATGTTTTAGGGGAGTGTGGTGGAGTAGACATATATATCATATAATATTAAGTGGAACTTATTTAACTGCAAAATTGTTAGTCCCTGATACATATTCAGTTCATATTTTACATTGTCGCTTTACACTGTCTCCTTACACTCTCAAGGCCATCAAATGCCAACACAACGTGTAACCAAAGTACCCGACAAACCGAACCGTGTTTGAAATCGAATCAGGTGAACAGCACAAACACCTCATTAGACATTGTCGGCGAATCAGGGGCGCAAAGCCCTCGGAAGCGCATATTTTGGACCATTAGTGACTGAAACGTTTAAGCCGAAACCATTTCGAGTGGAAATCATTTCAGGATTTGCAGAGATTTGGCGTCCACTGACGTCACCGTGGATTAATTTGTGGACCGCTAATTAAATACGGTTTAGGTTCCATTTATTATTGATCCCTCTTTTATTATCTGTGTTCGTGTTTCGTTTTACTGTGGTAATGAGGTGTGGCCTTTGTTTGTCTCATTGTGGATGATATTCTATGGTGGTGAATTGAGTGGGAGTAGAGTATGGCTGAGGGCGTAGCTTAGAGAAGTGACATACTGTACGTTGAATGGACACGAATAACAAATTTAACAATTTAAATTATGGACTTAGGAATGAATAATACAAGTACAGGTGTAACCGAGTGACCACCTTTGATTTTCAGGCGTTTACTAAATGACTGATTATCGTAAGCCAAATCATTCATACTCATCTTCATCTTTAAAAACGCACTCTGAAATGTCTACAAAATGCCTTAAAATGTAGTTACTCTCATTGTAGTTTTTACTGTTGAATGTCAGCTGTATCTTAGCTCATCCCATTAATTAATCAATTAGGGACTTATCCTCCAAGGATATAACCCGTAACCCCTACAAAGTGAACGTTTTCCTGCACAGTAGAGGCCCGCAGTGCGCGGGTGTGAGTACCGCGTGGGTTCAGTAGCCCCCCCCCCCAGCCCCCCTGTCTAACATTTAACGCAATTTGAGGGGTCGAAGGGTCTCATTGAGGCACTCTAATTTTCCACCTTCTTTCGCCTCGCCGCCTCCAACTCGCCGCCTGAGGCAGAGTCCTCCAACTTTACGCTTTGATTTGCTAACTTCACTCACGGTAGGTGATAATTACAGAAAGATTTTAGTTTATTTGCTCCGAAAACTTGAATGTTATTTTATATTCAAATAGGTATCAATCAAATTGTTTTGTGTGAGTCAGTCGCTCAGTCGGTCGTGTCGTGGGTTCGGATCCTGTTCACTGCCGCAAACATTTTATCAGTACTGTTCACCTTCGTACTGTACTGACTCACCCCTTGCTTTGCTGGATACGTTCCACGCACAGATCTGTAGTCTATGTGGACCGGCAAATGCAAGGTGAAAATGCCACCAACCTCTTTAAAAAAAGCTGAATCTATTTTAACAGATAGGTAAGAGATTTGCAATATTTTCAATTGGAGAAGTTTCATAAAGTTGACTATGGACCAATCGTCTATGAAACGCATTTAAGAAAAAATCAATTTATCTACCAAGTGATCGTTCCATGTTACTTACATGTCTCAACCATTGATCTCTAATAGAGATCGATGGTTTTAACCAAGTGTACCTAAGTGTTTATACCAAAACATTACTGTCCAATCAAGTGATAGAACCATATTAGATCCCCTTAACCAAATGACTAACTAACTGATAACACCATAACAAGACTTTCTTCAAGTCATCTACCAATTGATGGTACCATAATAATCTCTTAACCAAGTGATTATCTAAATATGTATGCCATACTAAGACTTTATAATCAAGTGATAAACGAAGTGTATCATATTTAGATTTTTTTATCCAATGATCAACTTAATGTTTGATAATTAATTTCCAATATAATAGCGTATGTAACAAAAGGACCTCTTAATCGATTTCACCTCCTAAACAACTAAATCACCAAACCATCAACCGAATGTATACCTAATTTCCTCCTGACCATACCCAAATACAAAACGACATTGCAAACGTTGGAACACCTCGGTAAGGTAAGACACGAAGGTCCTTAGTTGTAGCTGTAGTGGTGTAGTTTGTTCCTTAGTAACAAGATGGTTTTGTTGCAGGAAATAAGGTCGACCCCTGAGCCGGATGTTGTGGACGACCATTATCAAGGTGGGTACTGATTACGATTAGTTGTGGCCATTTCCCCCGAGGAAAATCTAATAATGACATTTTTAATTCCTCTCCCTATATGGAAGGCTAGTACTGTGGTAAAAGTATTGTTTACGTCAAGATTTTCACGTTTTATTTTTGGGTGGAAATATTCGTCTATGGTTCCCGCTGAACAAATGGGGTTTCAACGTGATGTCTGTAAGTGTAAACGTTTGTGGATTTTTAACTGTGGTTTTCCAAAAAAATAACGACATATCGCATTTTTCACGAAACAGCTCAATGATTTTAATTAGAATTGAATATGGTCAATTTTAAGTGTGAACAAAATGTTGCAACCCCCGATGCTGATCAAAGGTTTTCACAGTTGTTACGCGTAGCCAATGGGAAAAACTATGTAACGTCAGTTGGCTATTACCGTTTTTTGCACATGTTTTATACCTGAAAAACTTACTCTTGTCCAAAAGTTTGATCATAGCATCACCACGGTTTAATTCTATGGTTTGATGTTACAAGTGATGAAGTTATTCCTATAGGCCTTCTCATGGCTATCTGTATCCAATCTTCTTTTTTTGCATTTGTTCTATAAGATTTTACTTCTCTACGATTTTCTAGTACATTTCTTGGAGTATACTTGTTGAGTAAATAGCTTCAACTGAAAACATTTTTTTTGTATAGTCTACAACTTTCAAAATTCGTTTATGATGTATTTTTATCTTTATCAACACTTCAACCCACAACTAAGAAAACCTTTTCTCTTAACTCCCGTAGTTTAAACTCATACCCACAGAGGGGCATAAACTGGGAGTTCAGCCGAGGAGTACAGTGGATGCAGGAAAGAGGATTGTTTTAATGGGTCGTAAACACTCTACTGGAACCGAGAGTAAATTCTTGCAACAGCCTTAAGTCAGTGAACGCTGATGCAGAGTTTGCTTAAATTAAGAAAATTACCTTTGAACTATGTTCGACAAATCATTATAACTGCAACCATTAATTAAAAACAAATAATAATTGTCGTGTCTATTGACATTGAGAATTCAAATAATTAAATTTGTAATCACGCTCGAAAATCCTAAAAAGTTTTTAATTATTTTTGTGAAATATTATCTCAAATTTCAGGCAAATTGTTTACATTCAGTGTCTGCGATTTTTCTCGATAAATTAACGATCATTACAGTTTTGGTTTTACAGTAGAGCTTTGGTAACATGGTCAAATATTACTTCTTATCAAGGTTGACTTCTTACAGAGGTTTGTAATAGCAATTAATTAACTTATATATAAAGAGTATTTTAAATTGACATATGTTATCAAGGGCCATTTGCTACTAGAGTTATCTCTTCGCGTAATTAATGTTTAGCGGTTCCTCTATTTCGTGCTAAAACGTCCTTAGCTTCAATGATTGCAATATTACTCTCCATTTACTGTTCTCAAATTTATCTCAAACCGATGTTAAAAATAAGATTTACTGTATAACGAATGTCAATCTTGCCAATAGTCCGAAAAAAATTGTTCAATCCGTAGCAAAATCTAGATAAGATGCTTCGGTATTCTATTTCTACAGTCTTCACTGGTTGAGCGCAAATAGGAACCCAGGGATAAGGTTGGTTGCTTAGGGCTTGTGGGGAAGTGAGAGGAAGTGAGGGGAAGGTCAGGAAGAAAGGTGATATATTGCTCTCTTGTGTGTGTGTTTGTGTGTTAGTGCTGAGGTGTTTTGTTCAAAATGCGATGGAATAAAATAAATCGTCATATGGGTTTAACTTAAAATATAAATGTGAATTGTCTTAAAGGTTGTTTGGTTTTACAATTAGGGTGTTTAGAAACGTTATTCTAAAAAAAAAAAAAACAGACACGTTAAAATAAGGTATTATTTCCCATCGATGAAATCTTCAATTAATTGTTTTCTACCGGGGTATGTGATGGGGTAACTTATGACATACCTATTGAGTACTGTTTAAGGACATTAATGGCATATTTAAGGTGCTCTTACCTCTCTTTCGTGTCGAGTAAGAGCAGGCTATATTGTACAAAACCGGAAGCTAAAAAAGATGTGTTGGTACGAAGATTTTCGTGGATTATACTCATAAATCTCATAGTCCAGTAGTATTAAAGAGGTGTTCGTATTAAGAGTTTCGCTAATTATTGTCATGAGTCTCATGGTCCTATCAAGATTGGGATCATAATTGATCTCATGAACATCATTGTATTTAGCCACAGGAGCACATCAGTATCTAGCATAGGACGACTCAGAACGCAACGATACAATATTATAGTATGCAAAACCTCCGCTGCACATGAAGATCCAGCAAGATAATCTAATACACTTTTAAAGCTTCGCATTTTAGTTGCAGGTGTTTGTATGCTCGTTTTTGGGTAATATATCTTAATTAACGCGAAATGTGGTTTGGAAATTTGGTTTTGATCAAAATCAAATAAGCTTTCAAGTATGGATTTCCCAGTATATTATTCAAGTGTAAGCATAAAAAATTTTTTTCTCGATCGATTTAGTTACTGGTACATCGTTTTAGTTGTATTCTATTTATGTGAAACTTTCATTGGTGGATTTCGGTGATTAGGCCTAGGTGTATCGATCTGGTGTATTTCTTTATGCTGGCATGCCAAAGTTCAAATTAAAGTGTATGTACTCGGTAATATAAAACAATACCCCCGCCGCAGCAAACCTGCAGACTAAGCGAATTTCCATTTGACTGATTGGATTTACACTGAAATGTCTAAGTACTTAAAAATATAACATTTATTCTTGATTTAAATAGAATTAGTTTAACAAGTACTTAGGTTTGCTGCATCAGGGAGGGTAAAACTGTTTTTTTTGTAAAATGTGAATTGTTAGTAAGAAATAAAAACATTTTCCAAATTTGATCAAAATATGTTCACAAACAAGCAAACTACAACAGTTTACTTATTCTCCATAAGAATAACATAGGAATTTTTAATTTACAATTTTTTGGAATTTTCTCCGTAACCATTAGGCGCATAATAACGCTTCAGTATACTAAATTATTTGTTTTTTGAAGCTCTACAAAATGGTTTGGAAAGAAATTGCTAAATTTTATGTTTTTTGGGTCAAAAATGGGAAAAACCTATTTTTACCCCATAAAACCCCCCGTAAACCCCCGTTCCCATAGTCCGATCATGCTGGATCGCGAACTCGTTCGAATAAACGTACGTTTACACGTTTGTACCAAATTTCATCAAAATCGGATCATTTTTGCTCGAGTTATCGTGCTGACGGACATATATATATATATATATATATATAAACTAGCTGACCCGGCGAACTTCGTATCGCCTAAGTTATAGGTTTCCCCTAAGACAGACCGATGGAAAGAAAGTACCGTTACGTTTAATTTTCAATATGATCTCGTTCGCATCGCTCAATCACGTCCTGGTTGAAGTTCGTTCGCTACGCTCACTCACCTTTGGGTTGGAGCTCGTTCGCTACGCTCACTCACCTTTAGGTTGGAGCTCGTTCGCTGCGCTCACTTGCCTTCAGGTTAGCTCGTTCGCTACGCTCACTTGCCTCCAGGTTGAAGTTCGTTCGCTACGCTCACTCACCTTTTGGTTGCAAATTAGCTGTTGTCATAAATGTAAAAGAAATAATAGTGATGCACCCTGTTGGTAATCCTTGTAACTTTAATGCTATTGAACATCATAGAGCAGAACCAACTTGTTTAATTGAAACAGCTGTTAAGATTCATTAATTCCATTTCTCATAAGGTTAACATGGGAAACTCCAGAGCCACTGGGGCGGAGCCCTTTTAAGAATTTCGAAACGGGAAATAGTTTACTTTCTATTCGCATACCTACAGAATTTACACACCAAATTTCATAACGATCGGTGAAGTCGTTCCGGAGGAGTTTGCAGACAAACACTGTGACACGAGAATTTTATATATTAGATATATAAATATATATATATATATATATATATATGAATTTGAACGGATGGTGTTTTTGGCCTCTAGGGACCTCAAAACGAAAAAAAAATCGGTCCCACGTCCAGGTCTTACCATGAGTACTACGGTAATAGCTTATTCCCTATATGGGAAATTCGCTAAAATTAACCGAAGCTAGAGTTTTAATTTCGATTATGGGTGTTCGACGATACACCCAACTGTACACATGAAAATGTTATAAAAGAGTCTCTTAGCATGGAATATCTTAACAAAGCATCCATGGAAACTATACGAAATCCCCCAAATTCTACCATTGTTTCTAAATCCTTATTGGTATTTCCCCTATTCCCCTGCACCCCTATATTGGACCTTGTCCGGCCCGACTCTATTATCAATCTCCACCCCGAATGTGAGTCACCCCCGTCAATACCGAGGACCCTTATCACCCCCCCCCCCTTTGTAACCCGACCCTTCAAAAATCACAACCCCGGACCCCACCCCCAGGGCTGCCAATGTCAAAACTGTTGTCTGGCCCAGTCAGCTGTGAATGACAAACATCGTTACTGATAACGAGCGAGTTTTGGGATATAATTGGCATTTTACAACACTTCGGGATTGGGTCATTATGGGACGGGTAGTCTCATCGTAATGGTAAAATACTTTACAGTGGTTGGGTAGGAAAGAAAAACTCATGCAAAGATTTGTGGGTGGTAGATTTTAGATATGACAACATTGACTCAGTAGTTATTTTTTCTTCTTATTAAACATAATTTTTAGTAACGTCCCACTCATGTAACTCCTCAATATGGATATGTCTGACCATTCTGGGTATATTTCATATTTTTTAATCGTATTAAAATTAAAAAGCTTGAATTAGTAATTTTTGCCTGGGTAAAGATTAAAGACGTTCAGCTGGTAAAGATTTTAAAATGGTGGGTAAAACGATTACAACAGACAAAAAGTACAAATTTTAACGCCACGCTTGATTTTAAATAAATATTTTACATTGATTTTTTTGTGTGTATAAGTTTAAAGTAAGCAAAAGTAAAGATTGCTCTTTCAATGTTATATTTAAATTTCGTAATTAA